CACAGTGATCCTCCTGCCTCAGCCTCCTGAGTGCTGAAATTATAGGCATGTGCCACCACACTGAGCTCTTTTTTTTTTTTTTTGCGGAACCGGGGATTGAACTCAGGTCCTTGCACTTGCCAGGGAAGCGCTTATTCCATTGAGCCATCTCTGCAGCCCCATAAGCTCTTAAAGTAGTGGTTTTCAATACCTAGATTGAGAGTGACTAGTGCTATTTGTCAAGATGCAGATTCTTGGGTCAGCACAATTCTAACAGTAGGTCCAGGAATCCAATACCTAACAGAAACTCCTGAAACAAATGTCCCATGGATTGCATGCATAGCAGCAGGGAAGGTACAACACTACTCCATATGCCCTCATTTCTGGAAAGCATGATGGTAAGTGACCTATCCCAGCTGTTTGAAGCCAGTGCCCTCTGAAGTGGATATTCTGATTCTCAGGAGGAATCTCCACCCAACCATGAAGACTTTTGCTCCACCTAATATTGGCCTGCCCTATCCATTTCTCTTTCCTTTCTAACTTTAAGCCCTGGTTTTAAGTTGCTTTTTTGTGTTGGGCGGGGGGCTGGGCTGGCATGGCACCCTGTGCCAGGATCAAATCACAGTCCTTAGCCTTGCCTAAGCAGGCACTTTAGACTACCAAGCTATCTCGCCAGCCCCTCAAGTTTATTTCTGATCTTCTCTCTCATTTAATCCTTCAAATAATCCCAAATCATTCCTCTTGGGACCTAGTTACAGAGGGAGTCTCTGCCAGAAGGGTGTGTGAATCCTGTATACATATCCATCAATTACTTACAGAAAAATCAGGATTCCCGTGGGTCTGGAATTGAGGTCTGTAGACATAAATCAAACTTTTAGTCTCCTCCTGTCAAGGGAGCCAAAGCAATTCCTTTAGAAGAGCAAGAAGGGCCAGCGAGATAGCTCTACAGACTAAGCACATGTTTAGGCAAGTGCAGCAACCACCCCTGCGCTGAGCCACTGAGCTGACAATGGAGTCTGGGCGTGGTGGTGCACGCTTGTAATCCCAGCACTGGGGAGGCTGAAAACAGGAGGATCACTGAGTCCAAGCTGTGTAGTGAGACCCTGTACCAAATGCATAAAAGAGCAAGGCAGTTACCCGTGCCCCACCCTCCTAACATGTTACCTGCTGGAAGGGATCCAGTAAACTTGGTCTCTAGGCAAGTAATCCACTTTTATCTTAGCTTTTATCTATAGTGAGGAACACAGAACTCTGGGTAAATTGAGATGTGCGACTATCAGAAGGCTAGAATACTTGTGCAATATTCTCTAATTCCTACTCCATTATTAAGATCCCTGGGGGCTTCTATGGTTGGGGACTCAAACTTGTATATGTGAATCTTGTTTGAAACATTTTTTTTTTTTTTTTTTTTTGCGGAACCAGGGATTGAACTCAGGTCCTTGCGCTTGCCAGGCCAAGCGCTTATTCCACTGAGCTATCTCCCCGGCCCCTGAAACAGGTTTTTGAAATAAGCTCTTGCTGTGTAAACACCAGCATTTAACTAGGTATCCCAAATTGGCTTCCAATTTATTGCTGTCCTCCCTCAGCTTCCTGTGCACTCAGATTACAGGCATACACTACTATATCTGACTCAAAATGGGCAATGTTTAAAATGCCTGGCCAAGGGGCTGGTGAGATGGCTCAGTGGTCTAAAGCACCTACTTAGAACAAGCTTAGCAAAGCACAGGGACCGCGGTTCAATCCCCCAGCACCACATGCCAGCCAGCCCCGCCCCCTGGTGGGCTGAGCTGGCCACACACACACATAAATTTAAAAAGAAATGCTTGTAAAATGCCTGGCCAAAGGGGCCGGGGAGATGGCTCAGTAGGGGCCGGGGAGATGGCTCAGTGGAATAAGCACTTGCCTGGCAAGCGCAAGGGCCTGAGTTCAATCCCCGGTTCCACAAAAAATAAAATAACCTGGCCAAATAGCTCTGAGGATTAAAGTGCCCACAAACAGGCACAGGGGCGGGCCATGCCCCTGGGATTCACTGAGACTGCAATTGAGACTGGCCATGGTGGTGCACGCCTTTAATCCCAGCTCTTGGGAGGCTGTAGACAGGTGGACCATTAGAGTCCAATCTAGTAGTGAGACCCTGAATACCTGTAGACCCTTCCCTAAGACACAAAGATAATAAAAATAAAATGCCTAGGACTGACTGCACTCTCCAAGAACAGGGTTACAGGCCTTGGATGTAAGCACTGCATCGGGTGTGATAACATCTTGCCATGTAGTTCACACTGGCCCTTGAATTCACAACAGTCCTGCCTCAGCCTCCCAAGTGCTGGGATTACAGGTGTGCCTTGCTCCATCAATGTTAACTACATCTTCAATTGTGAACAGCATTTATCTCAGAAACCCTGCAGGTGTGGTCGAGTTATGGAAATAACATTTATTCAGTGCACTCTGGCCGCTTCCCTAAGTCTGGCAACAACCCACCCTTCAAATTCACAGTTTGGAGGGCTAGGGCAGAACAATGGAAGCAAAGCAGGGGCAGGAGAAGACTCAATCAGAATTCAGGGATCAGGATGGAAGAGGCCAGGAAGAGCCTTGTCAGACAAACTCTTCTCCTAAACTCAGA